TTCTTTCTGTGCTGACACGGCAGAGACCTTGTTCTCTTGTTCTGTTGTGTCTCTGCTTATCGGGGCATTGTTTCCATCCCTGATGGCTTTACCTTCATCACCCAGCTGCCTCCTGAAGACCTCCTCTCCAAACACTGTCGTGTTGGGGATTTAGGGCTCATCATATGAATTTGGGGGGACCACAAACGTTTGCTCCGTAAGATACATACATATATGTATATATTTACATACAAATGTAAGAAAAATGTGAGTTTATATAAGAAATACAAATTGCTTAATATAAATACTCCTTAGTTGCTTTGTGTAATATCTACAATGAGTATAAAGTCATGAATGTTTTGTAAATATAAATCCAATTATAACAAGGAGCAGAACCACGAGTGTGTCATACTAACAGAAATGAGAGTCTATTGCATCCTTCCTTTTTGAGAAAAAGGATCTTGTGGGCTAATTTGTATTTTCCCTCATTTTAAAGATGTTAGGTCCTCGCTGCACTTTGAAAATGGTACCCATCTCTGATGTTAGCACTGGAACTGTCCACAAGCCCTCTGGTGAGTCCAGGGACGGTGAACCTTTCAGAGCTTTCAGTGATACACGCAGCCCACTGTGACACATTCACCATAGATTTGCCGCCTCTGGTGTGGTTCCTTTTTATTTTGAGGACATAGGCATGAGAAGAAGAAGTGCTTCCTGGGGCCTGACTGGTGCTAGTATTCAAAGCACATATTTAGGATCACTTGACCACACAGTGCCAGACAAAGAGCAGCCCCCGAGTTGTGGGCTCCCCCAACTCTGTAAGAAATTTACCTGGTGCGTGTTGTGGTATGTGTGCTTTCTAAAGCGCAGGGCCCAGGCAGGGACCCTTCAGGCCGAGTCTGGGCAGGGTTGGGCATAGCTTTCTCTCTGCACCACCCTCACAGCATAGGCAAGAGTCAGCCTGTGAGCCAGGCAGGCCCAGACTCAGGTCCCAGTCCTGCCCTTACAAGCCTCATGGCCTGGAGCAAGGCCCTGGACCCTCTGTGCCTCAGCCTCCTGTCTATGAAAGGGGACTTCAACAGTACTTCCTCCAGGCTTGTCCGCAGAAGTCAGCCTAGCATTTGCAGGGCCTGAGGCAAAAGCAAAAAGGGAAGACTTGCCTGCAGCTCACCCCCTTCTCTTCCCACCCTGGCTTCTTCTGAGCTCTGTGTAAACATCAAACTTACAGGTCCAATCCCTGTGCCACATCCCCTTCTCTGAAACAGCTGCCCTTGGCCCTGGGCAGATGTCAGAGTACAGAGACCCGTGGCATTCCTTGGGAAGGACAGACACAGAGAAGAGGTCAGACCGATCCTGGAGGAAGGCTGTGGGGTCCAGAACCTTGTCTAGCTGCTGTCTGGGTGCTCGAGGGGAAGAATGTGCATGAATTCTCCCTGGGCCCGTGGACTCTTAGCCTGTGAGGAGGGAAACTTGAGAGCGACTCTCACAGGAGAATGCCCAGACCAGAGCCCTGGTTGTCTGGCTCTATGGCCCTGATTTGCTGGGTCCATGAGATGCTGTTTATAAATGGCTTAGCACAGTGCATGGTACTCTTTAAGGGTTCAGTACAGAGGAACTTCATAAATACATTTGTTGGTGTTAATATCATTAAATGAGAGTCTGAGTGCTGATTCTCCATTTCAAGGATGGGACTGGGATAAACCAGATTGTCCAGGGCTCCAAGCCCTTTGGTGTAGTTGGGAAGGCAACCTGTGGGGCTGTCCTGCTCTGCCTCCTGGAAGGTATAACTGACAGCACTGTGCCCTTTGCAAGGTGATGGAGAGAGAGTGATGCAACTGCAGAGAGACTTGGCAGGGACCTTCTCAGAGATTAATGGGCAGACGCTTAAGATGGGCTGCAGCCTCACTGAAAACCCCATTTGTGGGACATCTGCTATGTGCAAGCATGCCCTGCTACAGTTTTTCTTGACAACCCTGTGAGGAAGGTGCACTTCACAGATGAGGGAATTGAGCATCAAGGGGGTAAACAAAGCCAGCGGTGGTGGTGCAAGTCTATAATCCCAGCATCTGGGAGTGTGAGGCAGGAGGATCCCAGGTTCAAGCCCAGCCTGGGCAATTTAATGACTTAGGGAGAAACTGTCTCCAAAGTTTGACAAAGGGCTAGAGGCAGAGCTCAGTGGGAGAGCCCTGGGCGCAATCTCCATACTGGGGAAATAAAGAAGATAATGACTTGGCTGGGGTCACACGGACAGGAGGGAACAGAATGTCTGTCTCCAAAGGCCGTACCCTGTCCCCTGCACCATGATGCTGGCTCATGGGTGGAGAGTGAAAAACCTGTCCAGGGAGGCTCTGACTGATTTCCAAACAGGGATGATGACAGTGGAAATGAGGAAAGCGCTCACTACTGGAAAGCACAGTTACCCTGCTCTTTCTGCCAACTGAACCCGATCCCAGAAGACACCTGGAGCTGCTCTGTGACCTTGGAGAAGGCTCCATTCTCACTCACTCCTGCACCTGAGGGCTGTTTGACAGAAGCTGCTAGAGAGAAAGGTGCTCTTCAGGTCCTTGGTAGTTGAATGCACATCATGTGAAAGCTGCATATTGTCCAAGATATGAAAGGCAGTGGTGTCCCTTTCCCAGAACCAGCCTCCTGGGACTTCTGCCTTCGTGCCGTCCGCCTAGCAAGTCATTTATGAGGAAGTCTGCACTTGACATTGTTTCTCCTCGTCCAACAGCTTCTTCTCCTGGTTCTTGCCAGCCTGGTCACCTAGTCCTAAGATGACCCAAATAACCCAACCAAGCCCACTAGCACCCTCTAAGTGTTAGCCTTGGGGATTTTTTTTTTTTTTAAAGACACACTGAGACTCAGTTCATGATTGGTTCAGCACTCAAGTTCACTTACCAGGTTGTTTACACAAGATATCATGGATTAATCTGTGTTGTCCAGTAGTGAGCTCTTTCCTACTTTGCACCTGGACCGACAGAAAAGTCAGGCTAAGATTCGGTGACCTCCACAGCAGCCTCTATACCCAAAGTAGTTTCTTTGGGTGGAAATCCTAGGATGCCATAGCAAGGGAATGAGAAAGTGTAGCAAGAAAAGAAGGATGTAAGGAAGGAATGAATGAACAAAGGCCTGAAGGAAGGGGACCAGGATTTAGGTCAGTGGTGCTAACACCTGCCTTGCAAGTGCAAGGTCCTGAGTTTGATCTCTGGTACAAAAAAAAAAAAAAAAAGGAAGGAATAAGGAAGAAAGAAAAGGTTCCGTGGGATTCATGAGCAAGTTACCGCCATGACTACTGGTATTCATTGCTACTGGAGAGTGCTGAAAGATAGCACAGAAAAAGTCTCAGAGCTGTCCCACTTGAGCTGGGAAATGCTGGGTATTTATCCACCAACTTCTGTTTCTCATTGGTCATGGCTGTGCCTGGGGCATTAACTCCCCAGAGCTCCTAGATGCCTCCTCGTGCAGGGGTCTGGAATGCTAGTGCAGCAGGAGAAAGCATTTTCAGAGAGCAGCCATCTGCAGGAGGTGGGCACACAGGCAGCTGTGGTATCAGCTCCAGTGCCAGTCTTTCTTGGGCCTTGCTGGGTTAGGGTAAAATAGTGCTCTGAAACACCAAAGAACCACAAGTGGAAACATTATTTCTGCAATCACTTTACATGAATGTCACCAACACATTTAGACAAATATATAAAAAGCACAATTTATTGTACAATCATCGCAACTTTTTGACTCATGAGCTGTACATACACTTCCCAGGATCTTTCCCACCATGAAGTGTGGGTTTCAGGCACAGCAGCTGCACTTGTCAGAGCCCCCTTTGCAGATGCAGCCCCGGGCACACTTGGCACAGCCCGGGGGGCAGCAGGGGCAGCAGCCTAAAAGGATTAGAAGATGGATAAATCAGCTTTGGGTCCACACTTCCATCTTACCCCTGCTCCAATTCACATTAGCACAAACCCTGGGACAGGAGGTTGTGAGATTCTAGCTGGAAGGGATTTCAGGGGTCATCTAGAGTCTATAAGAGGCCCAGAGAGAGGAACAGCTTTGCCAAGTTCATGGACAGTGGCAGGTGCAAGACTAGAACCCAGGGCTCATGGCTCCAGGTCAGTGCTGCATCCCCTTTCCACTGGACAGGAAGGAACTACTCCTCAGTCTTCTTCCTGCTCCAGACACCTCACCTTCTTCCTGCCTGTGTGCAGACCTGGGGACTCCTGACTCAGGCATCTACTCCAGTTGCATTTCAGATCCCTCCCAAAAGGGTAAAAGGAATCCAGCAACCCCTCCATCACACCATGCTGGGTGGTGAAGGAAGAGGGATCAGACCTCTCTAGGTCCCAGCCAATAGTGTCCCCAGTCACCATACTCACTTTTGCGACATGTTTTACAGCTGCAAGTTGTGCATTTGCAGTTGTCTCCACAGATGCACATTCCTCCTAGAAGGGAAGACACAGCCACTGTGACCATGAGGACAGAGGTGGAGTGGAACACGAGGCCTGCTGCAGACCTGTCACAGTGGCAGGGCTGCTGGACTGTGCTTGGGAAGTGTGCTTAGAATAAGAGGGTGGCATTGCTACACAGCACTGCCCCAGGCCATGTATGGGAACTGAAATGGCCCTATCAACCTCACCTGGAGTTTGTTAAAATACACATTCCTGGGTCCAACCCCTGAGATTGTCTGATCCATCAGTCTGGGTGAGAAAAGGAATCAGTGTTTTTAAAAAGCAACCCAGAGGATTCTCATGTATAATCAGGATTGAGAACTACTAGATTGGGCAGGGTCCAGGAAGCCCAAGGTTCACCTGGGAATTCCTTTCATGCCCTCCTCATCTTTGCAAGGCATGATGGAGACCCTGAGCAGGAGAAAGGGCAAGGGAAATAAGCAAGCCCAAAGTGAGCACCATGCCTTTTCTTGTCATAATCTGCCACTCTTCTTTCACTTTTAACTCATCCTATCACTTTCAGTTCCAAAATGCTAAAGGTTCTGTCTGATTAGCAAGTTTCTTATACAGATGTACACTGTTAAGCATGAGAGGAGCTCTTGACTCTTCTAGGTACTATCTCCCAAAGCTGTGAAAGCCCAGAATGGCTGGGAACCCCAACCTCACTCCTGGGTAACACACTTCGATGGCACTGAGCACTTTTAGAGACTCAGAGGTCCAGACGAGCTCTCCTAATGTCTGCAAGTGCTTACTGATTTTTCCAGTCTCCTATCAACCCTGGGATAAAGGCAACTGGGAATTAGCAACCTCCATGTACAGATAAGGAGACCAAGACCCAGAAATATGCAGTGTAGAAGAGTGAATGGCTGCAATGGACCCAAACCACGTGGCCAGGTTCTGGGCCAGAGACAGCTCTTGCCCCAACTCTGGTGGCTGCCCCTAGAGTCCTGCAGCTAAAAGGACCAAGGTTTGCAGGTGCCCTTCTCAGCCATTCACTGTGTCAGGACCATCAATTCTGGCAAATCAGGTCCTGCATGCTCCCTGTAGGATGCTGGTGCAAGGTCCCAGGACCCCAGGTGGGTGGCCTCACTCACCAGACATGCAGGTGCATTCCCCAGGGTCCATGGTGCAGTTGTGTGTGTGCGAACAGCTCCGTGAGTGAAGATGAAGAAGGGAGGCTGAGGAGCAGCCACAGGCTGCCTATTTATAGCCACGTGGGTGTGGACTGCAGCTCACCACACCTTTCCCTCGGGCCAGACGCCCTGCACAAGGCCCAGTCAGATGCTCCAGAATGGGGGTTGGGCAGAGCAAGCAGAAGAGACCAGAGGAGAGATGGAGCAGTAGTCATTTGGGTGCCCTCTCACAAAGGGGTACAGGAAGCTGCACCCACTCCACCTGCTAAGGCATCAGGGAACCAGGCTCAGGCTCAAATGGCAGCTGCATGCATCCGGTCTCTCCAAGTCCTGCACACACCTCTATTATCTCCCGTTTCTGTTCCCTCCTTCGGGCCTGCTCCTGCCATGCTTCAGGACCTCATTCTCCTTCCCCTAGGTGACTCTGAAAGCCCTCATCAGGGTGAGAGGGTGGAAAATCAGGGGAATGTGCTCCTCTAGAGTTGGCAACCTCTCCTTCTAGACCACACATGGGATGGTAGAAGCAAGAGAGGCTTGGGGCAGATGTAACCAGCCCCATCACAACCTCCGTCACAATCCCGTTCTTTGATAAAGGTAGCTACCTGTCTCTCAGTCTATGGAAGGTGCCTCAGATCACAGGACTCCAAACAGCCCCACAGCTGCTGCTCTCACCCGCCCCCCTCCCCCACAGAAATTCTGGGCCCGCTCCGTGCTCTTCCTCCAGGAAGGTGCCTCCGATCTTTCCCTCTCCAGGCTGGGAGGAATCGCTCTGTGTTCTCTCCTGTACTTGCACGAGTCTCATGCCTTTACTCCTTCCTACTCTGCTGTGTGATTGTTTTAACACAAGGCTAAGCAGGCAGGCAGGCTCTCGCCCAACCGTACCATGGTGGGAGGTCACAGGGGAAAGAGCATTGTCTGCAGCATCTCCCTGCCTGCCAAGGGTTCTGCACACTTGGGTGGTGCGTGTTGCATGGGTCAATCTGTGAGTACTGGAATGACTGAAGCCATGAGTGAATGAATAAGTGAGTGAATGAGTGAAAATGAGGGATGGACAAACGCATGGATCTCCTGCATGTGCCATACTGAGAATTCTGCTGGGGGGATTGTCACCATTCAGAAAATGGGGCCTGACCATAACCAGTACACAGAGCTCCTCGCAGTTCTCAGCTTGGTGGCTTCTCCATCAGTCACTTCAATCGGATCCACGGAACCATGGATTTCAGTGTGTGTGTGTGTGTGTGTGTGTGTGTGTGTGTGTGTGCTCCTGGGGACTGAACCCAGAGCCTTTGCATTGAGCCATATCCCAGCCCTTTGATATTTGTCATTTTGGGACACGGTTTCCCTAAGTCACTAAGTTGCCCAGGCTGGGCTCAAACCTCCCTCAGCCTCCCAAAGTGCTGGGATTGTAGGCAGATGTCATTGCACTCAGCTCAAACCACAGATTTGAGTGGAGAAATTCTAGTGAGCTATAGGATTTGGCACCAGTCATCAGAAGGGCACTGTGAGAGATGCTGGGATAGAGGCAGGATTGTAGTGAGTCAGGAATGGTCCCTGATTTAAAGGTGTTCATGGAATAGTCCGATGACCGATCAGACTGTGCCCAAATTAAGGAAGAAAGAGGTGGCTTCCTGATTCAAGGAAATCTCATTTTCCTTGAAAAGCTCCTGTGACAGTACACACACCACACTGGATCCTAACCCAGTCTAACAAAAACTCAGACCCTAGAGTCACTCAGAGAGAAGGTGCCTTGAAAATCAGAACACCCCCTCTCCATTCACTGGCTATTTAATAGAATGTTCTGTCTGCTCCCAGGACTGTTTGGTTATTCGTGAACAGTACTGAGTCGAAAAAGAACCTGCAAATTCAGTCACACAAGCTCCAGACGCTGTGAAGGGTACTTAGGAGCCTGAGGTGAGTAAAAACCAATCTGTCTGAAAGTCAGGAGCAAATCTCAGTCCAGAAAGCCCACAGGAGTATGGGTCTTTGCTTCTGTAATAATAGAAATGAAAACTGCAGTGATAGCATGAATTTACACACAGAAGCACACACTGGAACATTAGAGAAAATAAGGAAAGGATTTCGTCTTGAAGAGAAGAAGCGAAGGAAGCACAGCTCCAACTGAGGTCGGACTGACTGCTAACAAAGAAAGAGGCCAGCTCTTATGGGTTGCTGAGGTGGGCTAGAGTCTGGCTCATCACTCGTTCTGATTTTGCAATTCTAGAGAAGTCCTTAGCCTTGCAGGGCAGTCCTGTTGCCATGACACAGTTGGTCCTGCTAGGGAGCCATGGGGGGGGGGTTGCAGAGGCTCTGCCAGTATCCAGGGACCCTAGGTGACTGCAGGTTCCGGGCAATGACTGGAGGCTCCTGGCACCCATTCCAAAGGGTCTGGTGCAGGCTGTTGTCTCTGCAAATCTCATCTTGGTGTCCTCAGTCTGAAGAGCATGAGATAGGTTAGGTAAATTTAAGGCTAGTAAACCTTATATTACCAGTTTTCAGGCATTCCCCAGATGATTAATCTGGTTACACACAACCTGAGTAAGGATTTGCCTCAAAGATTTGTGTTTTTGTTTGTTTCGTTTTTTAGACATGGTATCACCAGGTAGTCCAGGCTGACCTTGAACTCACTATGCAGCCAAGGCTGAGCTCAGACTTGTCATCCTCTTGCCTCAGCCTCCCCACCTCTCACCAAGTGCTGGGATTAGAGACGTGCCACACATATCTCCTGCCTGACCCAAAGTTTTGGTGACAAAGTAGGCAGATACACATGAAGGAAGAGATGCGAAGCTTTGTGCTGTTTATATTACCTCACTGGGCATCTGTATCCCAAGTGCAGTCATTTTATCCCCACTGGTAGTGGAGATTGAACCCAGCATTTTTACAGTAGCTTTTATACTAGCTACATCCCCAAACCTTTTCTTTCTTTCTTTTTTTTTTTTTATTTGATACAGGATCTTGTTAAGTTATTATGTTGCCCAATCTGGGTAGGAACTTGCAGCCCTCCTACTTCAACCTTCAGAGTGTTGGGATGATAGGGAGGAGACATAATGCACAGTAAATCACTATTTTTTTGTTTGTTTCTTGGCTTTTTTTTTTTAACAGGGTAAGGGCCTGGGATTTTGCTTCTCTGTCCCTCTGGTGACCCCAACCATTTTGTTCTCTCATCAAGTTGATTCTTGGAGATGCTATGGCAAAGGCACTTCTTGGGAGAGGGAAGGGTGGGAGGAACAAGAACCACGCTCTGAAAGGGTAACGATCCTGAGTTAAGGCCCAGGGCTATGCTTGCCCTTTGTCCTTGCGGTGGTCTCTGATGGTCTGGTTTTAGCAAGGACAGGTCCAAGCAAGTGAGCCCAGAGAGAGGGAGGGATTCTTCCTCGCTCCTCTCTGCCTGTACCAGCATTGTCTTCCTCCTTGAACAATTTACAGTGTGACATTGCTCAAGGCCCCAATTGAATGAAACATCGAAACCCTCTCTTCTCATATTTAAATATTTCCCAATTTCTGGGCTGTGCGCCTTGAAACCAACATCAGGGCTGCCCCAGTTTTTTTTTCACAGTTCTGCTTTGAGCCTGGGGCTCGAAGGGGCAGCCTCGGGGCCCATGCAGCTGTCCTGTTTCTCAGCTCCCGATCTCTGGACAGCAGCGGGAAATCAGGAAGGGACTTGACATGTCAAGGACACACGAAGGCGGGCAGGCACAGCTTAAACTCACACTTAGAAAGTAAGTATTTCGGGGAGAATCAGCCATCAAAAATTATCAAAATCTCATATATAACAAAATACCAATTTCCCCAAATGAATGTAATTATTATGTATAATGTATTATTATTTAATCATTATGTATACTAATTAAAGAAAGAATGAAAGAAAAAGAAAGGAAAGAGAGAAAGAGAGGAAAATACTTACACAGAAAAGTGATTGTGTAGCCTTCTTAGGAGATCCCAAGGGTCTTTTTAAATTCGAATGAAAGTTCTTGATCCTCTTTGGGGTGCAGGATGCACACATAAATTCAAGGGTTTTGTGTTATTGCCATTCCTCAGGGCCATGGTTTCAAAAGATATTTCTTTTTGAAATGCACTTGGACCAACAGGTGGCATAGTCAGCCCTTTCCAGAGCTGTTGAATTTTCCTGTATCCGGGGCCATCATCCTGCGCTCCCCCACCCCGGCCCTGTAGTGGTGAGCTCACGGGAGGTTAGCTCCGCTCAGGAACTGCTGAGTTATGCTTGCAGCAGGGGTTCTCATTTGTTACGCACCCCGGCCTTCTGACGGGGCTGAAGGACTTTCCGAGCTTGAGCTGCTGAGGGAACACAGGTGGGATGGATGAAACTCAGCGCCAGCTCCAATGGGTGATCGGCCAAGCTTTTGGATCGCTCCTTAGTGATCAGTGTGTCACATGCCGGGGCGAGTGGAGTCTGACTCAAGTGTTAACTGTTATCTTAACCCACAGTCAGTGGGATTCTGTGTGGTCCTAGAGTGTGACCTCTGAAACTAGTGATTTTAAGTTGACTAAGAGCAAGGGAAGCTAGAGGGCTTATTTAGGTTAAAATTTTTCATTTTATGTAAAAACTCTGCTTTATCAGAGTCTCATGCTGGCTCTGCTGAAATAAGCCATGCTGCAAAGGGTAATAGTTTACTGCACCCAGGAGCTCATTTCGTTGTCCTTATTTCTTTTGTCCCATCTTTGTGCTACCATAGTGGCCCCTAACTGTCTCATTTGGAGGACAAGTTGACCTTCTGCCTACAGAGCCCTCTTATAGGGTATTTCTGGCCTTATACATAGGACTAGGCATGCGACATAGGGACAAAATCAGAGTAGGCAGGAGTGTACGCATCACCTTGAATCCTACATGGTCAGCACTCGAAGACCATGGTCCAGATGAGGACACAGGAGCTCAGAGGGATGGGGCCAACCCCTCAGCCACTAAACTTAGGCTGATGGGAGGAAGAATTTGAACTTTGCCCTCACCTGTTGCTAGCACCCACTCTTTAGATCTGAAGCACTTGTGACCAAATTGTCCAGCAGCTTGAAGACTGTGTGGCTTTATAAATGGTTTATTAATCATTTCTTTATTAGAAAAAGCTCAAACATACTATAAAGTACAAAGAGTACTGTACCTACCACCCAGAATTAACAGATGCCAACATTGTCATGTTTGCTTCCACTCTTTTAATTATGAGAAATAAAAAAATTAACAGGCTCTTGGCTTTAAACATCATCTGTGTGCTGGTGACTCCTAGCTTATCCTTCCAGCCTGGGCCTCTCTTCTGAACTGCAGGCTCATATTTCTGGTTGTTACTCAGCAGCTGCACATGGAGGCCAAACAACTGTAGCTTGGTTCATCCCCCACCCGCTGCCTCCAGATCTTCCCAGGAGCTCATCTGCCCCCACAGCTGCCACCCGGCCTGGTCACCATCATCTCCTGCCTAGATTCAGCACTCTGTTCCTGACTGGTCTTCCCTCAGTGTCCCTTACAGCTGCCCATCCTCCTAACCCCCTCATCCTCTGCATTTGCCTTACAATTCTCAGGGGGAGCTTTCTTTCTGTTTTCTCAAAGTGATCTTACTAAA